TCGAGTGGCCGTGATGCCTTGCTAGGGGCCAATCTTGGTCTGTGTATTAGTGAGATTAATTGGTGTTAATCGCGATACTGTACACTACGGTATGATGAGAGCCTATGGGTCACAAACATAGAAGATAATTTAAGAGCCAGGAAGAAAGAATGGCGTTTTCATATTTTGGGTGAAAGGGTTTTTGGTAATTCACAGTCATTTAAATTTGCTGAGGTTGTAGCCTTTATTTAATTGTTAGAAAAATTAAATAAGTGAAATTACATTTAAATATGTGTTAGCATATAATTAAATAAATTATCATTATTGTTAAATGTTAATCTATATATATTATTATATAAAAGAATGTAATACGTATGACTTCAAGCTTATCTTATTAGGAGGGAACCTCTTTCTTATCTTTGCCCTAGAATGAGTCTCGGGGTAAATAAGACCGAATTGGGGTTTTTTGGTAATAAAAAAAATCCTACCTCCGATTGAGTTTTCGAGAAAGAGGAAAAGAATACTAATATAATATATATATATATATTATTATATATATATATATATATATATATATATATATATTAATTGATTTAATTGAGATAATGATGAATTAAAATAAATATCTAATTGAGAGTGTTGGTAACATGGGGTGTTTGGGTTGGAGCCCAAGCCTATTCCATATAGGAATAGGGCAATTAAAAATTGGACTATAAAAGAAAAAGTGTTAATTGAAAAATGGGGTGAAATCATTACTCATTCATTACTTTATCGTTTGAGAGAAAAACTCTCCAGCCCCTAAACACACTCTCACGCCAGTTTTGGTTTTGCAAGAATCAAAGTTCTTTTTGATTTTTCTTCTTGTTTCTTAAGGCTCGGAGGATCTAGCAAATCGCGCTTAGTTCCTTGCAATTATCTTCGTGTGGACTACGTCGGTTCGATCCTATACTTGGGTCGGTAGCAAAACGTTCAAGGACAAAGTTGGAGGAGCCTCCAAACGTGTGTAAGATTATTGAACCTTGAATCTGATTTTCTGCATATTTAATTTATATATATTGTATAAACTGTGATATTATACCCCGATCTTGGTTCTAAGGAACGATCCATGTCATTTATGTTTTTGTTTTCCGCTGCGTAAGTGGGTCGTTCACTAACAATGTATTAACTAATAAAGTTATAGTACTAACGCTCGATAATGCAGCTGCTAACACCCCGGCTATCTCTTTTTTTGAAAAAAGATTGGATTTGCGTGGTGAAGGCAAATTTTTTCACCAGAGATGTGCTTGTCACATCATCAATTTGATTGTTAAAGCAGGTTTAGAAGCTATAAATTCAAAGATTGAAAAGGTGCGCGTGGCTATCGGATTCATCGTCGACGGTAGCAACAAAAGATAGTAGGAGTATGTCAAATATTGTAAGCAAGAAGATCCACTGGTTTGACCTTTGAAGTTATGTACGGACGTGCCTATCTGTTGGAAGTCCACCTACTTGATGTTGGAAAAAGCTTTGCCAAACGCAAGATAAATTACAAATTTCGTCAACCGGAAGAATTCGTAGGAAGTTGTCAGCTATGATGATTGGACGGTTTGCAGCTTTTTTATTCATTTCTTAAAGTTTTTTATGAATCCACCAATACATTAAGTGGTATTTATTATCCTACTACTAATTTAGTGTTAGATATTTTACTTCAAATTTCTAAAACTTTTGCCAAATATAGATATGATGACGTCTTAATGGAAATTGTTTCAAAGATGGAAAACAAAAAAAACACGAGAAATATTGGTTAGATATTCCATTCTTATATGGATTAGGTCTTGTTGTAGATCCTAGATTTAAATTACACATAGTTAATTGTATAGTTTCTGAGATAGGCCAGCATTTAAGACATGATTATACGTATTGTTTTAGTAACTTTAAGCAAAAATTGGAAAGCCTTTTTTCTTTATATCAAAGTAGGTACGTTCAACAGAGACGACCAACAAGACCCTAATGAAGACAACTATCAAGAATCAAGCATGTGGACGTCTATGGAACATGGCAGTGGAAGTAGCAGCTCCAGTGCGTACATACATGGACCAAATGGGCTGAATCGCTACCTACAAATGGACATATCCTATATAACGAAAAAGGAGAAACGTGAGATGGATGTGCTTCAATGGTGGAAACAACATCAAAGTCAATTCCCCATTGTAGCCCAAATGGCATGTGAAATTTTATATGCGCCGGTTTCTACAATTGCATCCGAGTCGGCATTCTCAACGAGTGGCCAGATTGTTGAAGACAGAAGATGCTCTTTAACCAATGAGATAATTGAAGTGATAATGTGTTTATGGGATTGGACTCATGTAGAAAGAAGACTACAGCAGCACCTTGAAGATTCTGAACTACTCAAACTCTTCAGGAACACAGATTTGAACGATATAAATATTGTTGACGATGAATAATTTAATAAAAATAAATTTATTTAATTATTTATTTGTGAAGTGTGAATGAATGATTGTGTGAATATTACATTTATGTTAAAATTAATTAATTAAACTATCTTTTTAAAGTTTAAATTTAAATCCCCATATTTATAAATTATAATTAACCATTAATTTATTTATTATTTTACCATTTTTTTAAATTAATTAAAAATTTACTAATCTTTTGGATGAAAATAAATTTTCCAGGCCCCTAAAATTACATAAACCCCCCTACATAATTCTTTTGGCCTCTTAAATATAAAAAAAAAAAATTGAGGGGTGAAAGATAATTTTTCAGGCCCAGGATCGGTCCTAGCGACTAGTCCGAGTCCTAAAATTTCTCATGGGCCTAGCCCAGACCCAGGCCCATGAGCGATTGGTCCCAATCGGGCCTAGACCCGGTCCGGTTGCGACCCATCCCTGCCCAAGTCTATGTGGGAAGCATACAACTTTCGAGCTTGCTTGTGATTGCAACGTGATAGTTTATTTACTCATTAGTTAATCATTTTTATATATTTATTTAAGATTTCTATTAACTTTAAATCTTTTTCTTCTCTGAATAAAAATAAATAGGCAGCTATATATATAACCATTTATTAATAAATTAAGAGCAAACGACATATTCACATCCAAGGTTTGATGCAATCTTAATTTTGTACCCCAAGTTCCATTTATTCCAAATTCTCACCCTTAAAGCAACAGAAAATGGTTAGATATAATGACTCAAATGTAAATTGGTCATTTCGCAGAGGAGGCGCACATTAGCAGATCGTCGCCCCTAACAAAGCTCCGATGCACGTTAGCCAACACCACCGTCGACGTTTTTCGCTCTTTTCCTGCGATTCTTCCACCTAAAATCACCCTTGTCACCACCATTCGAACTCTCATCCTCCCCTCTACAAAACCATACCCTTCACAACCTCTCATCACTTGCCGATCGCCAACCACGACAGCTGCCACAGGTGACTAGTTTTCGTCGGTCTCCACTGGCGAATGGCCACTAAATGGTTGCTGGGGACGTAGGGATTTTGTAGATTTGGAGATGCTGGTTGCAGTAGTGATGTCCAATTGCATTTTCATCGCCGAAATCCAACGAAGAACGACGAAAACCTAAGCTTGACGGCACCGGCAATTGGAGGGTCCAATGAGTCGGGAACCAGAGGGGTTTTGGATGACAGACGATGGGGAAAGTGATGGAGATGATCAGGGGGTTCACCGCCATCAGAAACAGCCCAGATCCAATAAAAACTGAGACAGTGCGTAGTCACTAAGGGTGTAATTAAAGTAATTTCAAAATAAGATGGTTAATTTTATAATTTTAGTAATTTAGGGGTTAAAATATAATTTATTAATTTAGGATTAAGGGTATTATGGTAATTACACCCTCACTACCCTAAAAATTATTAACAGTGTTATTTTAATAGTGGGAATCTGGAATAAATGGAACTTGGGTACCAACTTGAGATTTCATCAAACCTTGGGTGTAAATAATAAGTTAAAAGGAGGCACATGATCCAATGCATGTGTTGCTTCAGTGCCCAGCACTACGGTTCCCCAACTTACGTTTGTGACCTCTGCATTGCATCATATTAATATTAAATTTCTAAGTAATTACACAATTTGTACCTCTAATTATGAAAATTGAAAAAGTATTTACAAAAACAAATTCGTTTGTATTTAATTAAAGTTTTAAGAGCAGGTTAATGAAATTTTTTGTGTTAAAAATGTTATCGTCTCAGGATTGATAATATGCTTTGTGTTGTGAAAGTACGGAAGAAACGGAGAGAATCAGAACCGTTGACTGCAGTTTCAGGAAATATGAGAGATGTAGATCCGACAATCTCCCGACCACGAAGCATGGGACTTGTTTAACACTCTGGCACACACCATACATCGCTTATTTTCCCACTTCATACAAATCTAACGGCCCAGATCTATTGGAACACTACGCACCCACGGCGCAAGTTAGTTTACACCACCAAGAACCCCACTAAAAGTCCACTCTCATATACTAATCGAAAATGACAAGCATTATTACAAAAACCTCCCTATTAATAAAACAAATAAAAAGAAATGGAAAAAATTAAATAAATCATTGACCTCAAAAACTAACATGAAATTTTAAAAATTTATCATTTAATAATAAAAAAAATTTATAAAAGTTTTCCATTAGAAAGAGGGTCATAACTAAATTAAATAATATGATATACCGGCATTTCAACTAAATTTTAAAATAAATAATATAAAATTAAATTCTGTCCGACATAAAATTATTTTAGTGAAAGACAATATTTTAAACTAATTTGTGACAAATTTTTAACCATAAATTTATTATAATCCTATGATTTAGAAGTTACAAAGTTAGCATTAAAAAGAATTATTTAAATTTAATTTGGATAAAAGCTACCCTATATATAAAGTCTTTCTTAAAAATTAGACAAATCGAGAAAAGAAAAGAATTCACGCCAATTGGAAAAAAACACAAATCTAAAGAAGAAGGGCATTACAGGCATTTCAGAAGGTGAGAATGAATATAAAATCCGATAGAGCCCTCTCTTGAAACTTTAGTTGCAAAAAACACCTACAAGCGACGCAAAGAGTGACAGACACAAACTCACAAACACAAAACACAACTCTCTCTCACCGGAACTCTAAACTTCCGGGGATAAAAACTCCTACGGCCAAACCGTCCGCACCCAAAACTCTTTTCTGCCAAACCCTTAAAATTCCGATTCGTTTTTTTTTTATGTTTCTATCACCAACTTTTGCTGAAATATAAGCAAATTTTACTCCGAACTGGGTAAGGTTGGTGGTGGTATGATGGGATTTTGTATATGTCCCTTGGAAACTCCGGCAAGGTTGCTGTGGACTACTAGCTTCTTTCGTCACAAGCTCATGATTTTCTAATCTTTAATTAATATTTGTTTAAACTCTACTTCTTCTCATCATCGTCGTCATCGTCTGCTCACAACCACCCCTTTTAGATTGTTTTTGTGTTTAAACTCTACTTCTTCTCACCATCATCGTCGTCGTCGTCCACTCATTCAACGTAATCATATAATACGTTGAGTGATCAAAGAGATAATTTGCAAGGTTTTGTCATGGAGTCCGGACGTCTTTTCTTCGACCCTTCTGTAGCCTGCCCTGGCAACATGTTGTTCCTCGGAAATGGAGATTCCTTACTTCGAGGTAATTTTTTTTTTTTTTTTTTTTTTACTGTTTTGATGATGATCTAGCTGTGTATCTATCTGCATGTCATGCTTTGTGACTCAGTTTCTTCATGTTTTTCATGACAGTAGAAGAAGATAAAAAGATGTGGGCTGCTTTTTTCTCTTTCTCCTTTTTTTTATCTTTTTTATGGTTTCAATATGCACTGTGTGGTTACTGAGAAATTAAAGAAAGGAACGATCTTTGAATTTTTTAGTTTGAAGGTGATTGATTAATAGATCTTGTCATCAAACTTGTATTTGGTTACTAATATGTTTTAAATTTTGTTTGGTTGATTGTGATATAAAGGAGCAAGATCGATGATGAACATTGAGGAGACCTCAAAGAGGCGACCTTTCTTCACTTCACCAGACGACTTGTTCGATGACTGCTATTATGACGAGCAGTCACCTGAGAAAAAACGCCGCTTATCTCCTGAGCAGGTTGCTTAATTTCTACTCACAACTTTCAATTTTCTCGAGTTTTATTCCTTTACTATTAATATATAGCCTTATCAGCATCAAGTTCGTTTCTTCTTTTTTTTTTTTTTTTTTATTCTCGTTTCGAAACCGAATCTATCTTACTACACTACGAAACAAAAAAGATTGGTTCATTAGTTTTTAAGAAGAAGGGTAAGGAAGAAGAAGTCAACAAGATTGAGTTTAGATTTTTTTTTTGGGGGGGTGCGTGAACCTGATGAGTTGTCTGTGTTTAACATAGACAGTTGACAGAATAAATGGTCTCAATAACCAAAATTAAAGCATAAAATATGAATCCAATTTGATGAGTGAGTAATTATTAATTTTTGATGTGGTGATGAAGTGATGTTATGTTAATCAGGTGAATCTGCTGGAGAAGAGCTTTGAGGCAGAGAACAAACTGGAGCCAGAACGGAAGACCCAGTTGGCTAAGAAGCTGGGATTGCAGCCGAGACAGGTGGCTGTTTGGTTCCAGAACCGCCGCGCTCGGTGGAAGACCAAGCAACTTGAAAGAGATTATGATCTCCTTAAAGCTTCTTATGATGCTCTCCTCTCTAACTTCGACACCATTCTCAAGGAAAATGAGAATCTGAAATCTCAGGTAAATTACTAAAATTAATTAAACATAATCATACAACTAAATTTGTTTCTAGATTATAAATTAACCCATTTTTTGTTATGTTCTGCATGTGAATAATCAACATTATAAGTTACTGAAACATTATAAAGATTTGATGTTCTTAAGATGACGGATGTTGTTGGGGACACCTATAGCCTGTTTGATTGGGACGTTCTAAATGTGATATTCGACTTTATAGGCAAAAACACGTGTTTTCAAATTTAGCATATGTTCTAAACCCCACTTTGATTTAAAAGATATCATTTTTAAAAGCCATATAAAGACGAATATACTTTTGCGATTTTGCCTTTCTCGATATAACCTAGACTCTTCCTTTCTTATTCCCCACAATGAAAACTTCAAATATGGACAGTCATGCCTTAACAATTTTACATTGGGTGTCTGATTTTCATAGTGATGTAACTTTAACTCTAGGTGGTTTCTTTAACTGAGAAACTTGGAGCAAAAGAAGAGAATAATAAACAAGGGAAAAAGAGTGAGGCAGTGACACCAGAAATGGTACAAGTTTCAGTAGCCCGATTGAGCAATAAGGTTGAGGATCGGCTGAGTTCTGGCAGTGGTGGAAGTGCAGTGGTTGATGAGGATTGTCCACAAATTGTGGACAGTGGTGATTCGATTTCATATTTTCCAAGTAATAAATACACAGGATGCATGGGGCCCGTTGATGGGGTTCAATCAGAGGAGGAGGACGGAAGTGATGACGGCCGGAGTTACTTCCCCGATGTGTTTGTGGGTGCACAGAATCAGCAGCCTGAGGAGCCATTGGAGTGGTGGATGTGGTCATTATAGGGCCACTAATCAAACTTTGTTACTAAGCTCTTTTGTCTTTGTATTTTCCGTTTAAGCATTATCAGTTAAAAAAACTATATGAAAGTAATGACTTTATATGTGGATGTATGGGGCTTAGTATGAATAAAACCGTGTTGAAGTCAATTGGGTTTTGAGTTGTATTACAGTTATGAAGTGATGTAACATCCTTTGAATGGATGGCTACCTAAGAGTGAGATTTCCCAATTTGAGACTTTCATAATCAACCATCTCAAACCTCAATATGAGCTCTAATTATCTAAGAATATCTCACCTGACCAAGTAGTTTAAGATCACCAATTCACACTTATCTAACAGATGCTCAAGCAACAGAAGATACATTTATACAAAAAATGCACACATTTTAAGTCAGATGAACCTACCAAGAAGATATTTTTCTGTCGGTGGTATAAAACAAGGGCAGAAAGATTTGCATTCAGATTTCAACTCCTACAGAAGAGGTTTCTGTATGATTTTCATATTCTTCGCCATATAGGAACTCCACACATACATCATCAGCCACTTCCAACTTGCAATAAACTTTAATATTAATTCCTACTATTCGCCTCCTTTTTTCTTTCTGGTCCTGTCCTTCCACCTCTCTGGATGGTATATATGCACCTACTTCCGGTATATTCCCAATATTTTAGCTGGACAAAGAAAAGCCAATGTCATAGTGATGACGATAAGAAGCAAGAATTTTGGAGAAAAATAGGAAGAGCAGTAATCAAGAAGTCTGCCTCCCAAAACAACATAAAACACTAGTGGGGTGGTAAACCTTTGATTAAAAGAAATTAATGAAAAACTCTATCCTACTCAAAGAAAGAAATAACAACAAATTCTAAGTAGAATTCAAAGAATAAAATAAAGTCTTCAAAAAAATTATAGTCATATGCCTATACCTATCTTGTGTACCTAGAACTTTATGATGTCTTATAGTTATCACATGGCCTGCATTGCCACACCAAAATGTAAAGTTTCAACAAGCAAACAGCCATTGAGAAAATTAACGGATATCTACAAATCAAACCATACATAAAGCTACCAAACTCCAACCGACCATATATCTCTTCAATGTAACTTCCCAGCAATTCTCCATTTTCAGCTATTTTGTATTGCACCTATAGTTAGAAAAATGAAAAGAAAGACTTATCTAAACTAATATTTCCACCAAAGAATGTTGAATCTGCTCCAGTCTCGACGAGAATGTGATGCCAAAAACTAATGTTCCTAACTACCAAATTCTATTAAAAGAAAATATGTGGATTACTTTCAGATTACAATAGTAGAAAGTGAAACAAGAAAATTCATTACTTGTTCGGTGTGCAATGTTGGGATCCTGGTTTCTGAAGAACAATTGTATCCCTCTTAGTTAAGTTCCTAGGAAAAAGAATCATTAATACTAGTAAACTACATTGAGTTAGAATAGGAGACCACGATGTAAAATTCCACCATAAATTTCTATGCTAGCAACCACAAGTAACCTCGGACAAAGCAATAAGTTTTCCTTCTTCCTACATTATGCCAAGTTAGGAAAAACCAAATGAAAAGAACCAGAAGGAATGAGGAAAGGAGTGAGACAATAGAAATAAAGAAATGAATAAAGAATGAGATTGCTACTCTGCTCAGTTTGATTTTCTTTCCTTACTTCTTTTTCCTTTTACACTAATTTATTTTGTATATGTATATGGATCGTGCTCATCTCAGAAATTTTTCTTCTATTTCGCCTGTCATTCCAAGAACAAATCTAAACACTGAAGCAAAAAGCAGTCCAAAACTGGAAGCATTCTCACTAATCCACTAGTCCTGATGAATACAACTTCAGAAAAAAAAGGTAGCTTTAGGACTCTGCTTCCAAATCCAAGTTAGCATTGTCAGCTTTGTATACACACGCACCTGAAGCAGCAGTGGCAGTGGCAGCATTGCGCCTTCGGTTCCCAAATTATCCTCATGATCAATTTGACCAATTGACCCAAATGTGGTCTTGATTATAGGAACCTTCTTTATTATTACAAAACAGGCTGGCCGTCACCTTCCACTGGCACCGGGACCCAATTTGTCTGGATTGTCTCTCCCAATGAATTCAAAAGCCACAGACCCCTAAATCAACCATCTGGTTCCTTTCGCTTCTTATTACATTTTCGGCTTACCTTTAACTTTTCTGCCAATTCCGAACTGGGCAGTGACTTATGCTCCAGAATGCTGCTAACCTTCAAACTGTCAATTGCATCGGAATTGGATAAGGACTTCTCATAAACAATGGCTGCATCAAGGGAGTATATTCGCAAGGCAAGAGAAGACATAGTGGATGTTTTGGCAGCTGCTGAGAATGATGACCAATACCACCACTCATTCCTCAAATACTCAGACTTGATCATGTCTTCCAATATAATTGTAGCCTGGACCATCTGATAGAGAAAAAATTAAAAAAAAAAAAAAAATGTTTTAAGTCTCAACAAATCCATGCATTTAAAGAATAACTAATGAATGAGGAACTTTAAAAGAAAAAAATTAAAACAGTCATTACACAATTGTCTCGTACATTTTTATTATACTCAAACAGCAAAACAAGAAAGGTAATAAAAAGAGGAAAGATCAATAATCCATTAAACTAACAATAATACAAGTTATAAGCATGTTTTGAGATCAGTAGTTATGAATTGAATTTACACGTTTGTATTTTGTGGTAATATTGATCAACATAACTCAGCCCAAACAGTTTCCATAATTAAATCTTGAGGACATGCAGAAACCATGAATCATATTCTTGAACCAAAAGTCAAGTTTCCTATCTAATTATCTCCTGGCAAAAGGGAAAATGACATGACTGTGCACCCTACAATAGAGAATTCAGATGGTGGTCTGACCACTAAGTGTATTGTGCTAAATTAGAAAATTTTAGAAGTTCCTATTCCCATTGCAATGAAAGCATACTTCCATGCCACATCTAATGAAAAAAGCAGGTAACTGTTTCAATTACCTCAACAAGATAAACTACGTAAAAACATTCAAAAAGCAGAAAATTTCCACACTAATCCCAAAGATTTTATGAAAGACACCATAAAGACGGACCGAGACAGCAATTAACACTGTACAAAGTACCCATAATAAGAAGGGAATGAAACCAACCTCATATATTGTTTCTGCAGATTTAACAAACGCACGCCAAGCCCACCTCCTTTCAGCATGGGCCTTTGAAGGTCTCAAAGTTGCTTCAGGGAAAGCAGCCTCCATATCTAGTAAATTAATCTTGAGCCGCCTCATTATCTGTGACACTTTACCAATTAATGGCCTCAATGAAGACTGGGGAACTACACAACAGTGAGCAACCCCAACTTCAGAAAATTGTCTATCTGAAAAGGATCTTTCATCTCTTTGTTTAGAATATCCCAAGGCTGGTTTATTCCTTTTAGGTACTCCAGGTATCCCAGTTGCAGCAGATTGTCTGGAAGAACCATCCATGATGTTGTCATTGCCAGCATTAGCCACAGACAGGTTTGCTTCTGCAGATAACAGTCTCTTGCCAGCCTTCAACTCATCCCCTGCGCCGCCTACCTCTTTCTGGGGAGAATTTAACATTAAAGTAGGGTCGCTCAGGAAAGGAGATACAGATGGGATAAGCGAGGGGATTCCTTTTGAACCAATGAGACCGATCTCCTGTATCAATTCTTTATTAGAATCTTTCGTCATAAACTTGGATCTTATCTCCTCCAAGTCAAAAGGGCACACTAACCCTTCATTTTGAAACTTTATCAACCGTGAGGCCATGTCATTGCACCCACTTTTAGAAGTTTCAACATCAATTTCAGAAGTGCATGCTTCCCTAGGTATGTCAGATTTCATATTCCCCTTCCCTCTCAAAGAATTATTTATCTCTTTGCTCTTCTCAAAGACTGGAGGACCTGAACTGCACCTATCATCATTATGCTCCTCAAATTCAACTTCAGTGAAAAAAGTTCTGTGGCACGAGAGGCAGTGGTTTCTGGAAGGCCAAATCGGTTCTAAGCATTCACAACGATACATTTTCTCTTCACTAGTCACTCTTGCCTTTTTTCCCCGCTTCTTCACAATTTCAGTGGTTTCTGAGTCAAAGCAAGGACCATAATTCTTCTCCAGCAACAAGGCCGCCTTAGTAACAAGACAATCAATAGGTCCAGCTTTTTCACTATTAGTGGGTGTTCTCAAACAACTTTGGCAGTCGTCCTGCACTTGGTTTTTAGTTTGTTCAGGATCCTGGAATCTTAGCCTTTGCAAGTGCAGAATAGACTCTTTCAGTTCTCTTTCTTTCAGGTTGTTGTCCTTCAACCACAGAAACAATTCTTTAACTTCAGCATCATTTTGATAAAAAACCCAATGTGGACTAGCCATAGTAACATTAGGATCATAGGAAAATGGGCAGCAAGCTTTTGAGCCCTCTAAATTCAAGACAGTATTTGTGTCTGATGAAGTGGAAGTCTGCAAGATTGAATTTTTGCCCATTTGCTTTCGAAAATCCAGCCTTTTTCTTCCTTGATGTGATGTAAAACTCCCATCAACAATAACCTGTGGCTGCATACCAGGCATAGCTGAAACCCAATACAATCGACCAATAGAATCACTTCCCAAAAACTCCCTCCTCACAGTTAGCTTCAAAAGCTGTGATTCTGTGGCGGTTATTAAGTCTTGTAGAACAAGTATGTCATTCTTGATCGTGTTCAACTCAAGATTGTATGCTTGTGACTCATTTGTGACAACAAATGGCACTTCATGAGCTACTTGAGGGCTCAACAATTCTGATGGGGTAGAGAGTCCCTGATGATCTGAAGGTGGTATTTGAGTTGCAATTTCCTTTGTCAATTCTTGTAAGTTTTCCTTTAAATGGATTTCTCTACTCACGTCATCTTGTGGCAAAGTATTTGATAAAGGGAGCTCATTTGGTTTAAATGATTTATCATTCTCTTGAAAAGGTATTTTACTGTTGTCAACAACAGCATGATGATCTTTTATTTTATCTTCAGTATCTACAGGGTTCATGAATTGGCTGTTAAACTTATAACTCTTCTCTGAATACAAGAGAGATGGGCGCCTATCAGAATCATTTAGCTCAGATTCCTGTCGACCACCCTCTGTTGGATGTACATCATCAGAGGAGACAACAAAGCCATTATTTCCACAGCTTGAGCCCTGTGGCTATCCCATAAATTTGCCATTGTTTCTAAGAGTAGTTGTGGATCCCTCCTTAACGTTTCCAATTGCATTAAGCACAGTTGTCTCCACCTTTGCAACTCTTGCAGCCACAATTTCTTCCCTAGACTTTAAATTCTTCCATTCTGCAGAAAAGGAACGTAATTTCTGCTGCAATTCAGCAGTTGTTTCAGCACATTGCTCAAGGTGTTGACGAATAACGGCTGAATTAAGTAACTCATCACATAAAAACTTAAGCAAGAAGGTTCTCTGCATACATAAAAGGAGAAGAGCTCTATTAACCACAATTTGTACACACAAAGAACATAAATGCACTATAAACAACATAGAAAAACCAGAACTGACTCAATCATAAAATGCACAATAAACCATATAGCTTTTTTCACATTCCATAAGTATAACAATAGAAATGTGGTCAAATTCAACTAAAAGACAAAGACCCAAACCATTCTGCACTTATGCACATATCTTCATAAATCAAGGTTGACCCAGTTCAAAGCCAACGATAGCACAGAATTTCCAGGTCACAGAACAACCATCATGAATCAAGATGTAAGATAAGTTACAGAAGGAACTCATAATAAAATTACAAAAACACAGAAAACACAGAAACATAGCAAAAACAGTATAGCAACTCATGCACCGTCTATGTTTAATGTGCATATAGATGAATCTAGAGGTACAACCACAATCGACCGATAACTTAAGTGGATGATCACAAGCTATGCATTATAAGCAAAAGCCAACTAGTCTATACAAGTTGGAATCAAATCAATGCAAAGGTCTGGCGTATTCAATCAAATAGCAGTTGAATTTATCAAAATGTTTAAGACTAAGATGGATAAATGAGAAGGGTTCAACAGACAAACCTCATCTACATTGTACTCCCAATACTCTTTTTCTTCCATTACAGCTGTTAAATGCCTAAGTGCCCCCAAGTACACTCGAGTCACTTCTCCCTGGTATTTCTTTCCTCTGCTTCGACCACCGACTCCAGAATGTCCTGATAAATCCTGAAGCTTATGGTTACTGACAACACAAGATGGACAATACCAGTTCCCTTCAGGAATCCGTGCAAGTGGAGGATCCAAGCAATAAGTATGATACTCAGCATCGCAAGTATCACATAGAAGAACACTATCATCATCTTTATCCACCCCACATACTTTGCAGACTCCTTCATCCCACGGAGCTTTTGGAACCTCACTTGTGAGAGCAATAATATCATTTATTTCTCGTTTAGCTTCAGCATCTAAGCATTCCGATTTGGCATACCCCACGAGTTTCTGAACCAGGGGGACAACCTACAACAGAAGAAGCATTAAACAGCTAAAACAAATTAAAAAGAAAGATAAGAAACACTGATGTGCACTAAGAGGGCAGCCAGGGACAGAGGGAGCATAACATACGTTTAATTCATATGAAGACCATCAATTATTTTCCTCTTTACATACTTCTTTCAAGTGAAAATATAATCGATAATGTTTGACATTTTAAGGACTTACGTTAAGCATTTCAGTGATCATTCTTTAGGTTTACACCCTGTATTTCCTATTATTTATTACCACAAAATTGAAAAGATCTGAAGAATCGTGTTTTGTTACATTAAAATTCTGCTTCTTTCCATGACTTCACTTTTTCAACAAAGTTGTAATATATTTTTGCTTACTTCTCTACACCTCAGAAAACTTTTTCAAATTGAGGACACTTGACCTCCATTAATGTATTTACTGAGTTGATTGCTAAATCATAAGGTAATGCATTCCTAATGCAGTCTTGCAATTAATCCTAATACCCAAGCTAAAATGCAAAGGTGAATGACATTGAAATATTAAAATCATAGTTTTATTCCATTGCTTGATCTATAAGAAGCTCAGTCCACAGAAAGAAAATAGGTCAAACGTTTTTGTGGGTCATTCCATCCTCTTGTAGTGGTTTTTTTTAAAAACAAGTTTATGGTTTGGGTAAAGGAGAAAAGGTCAAAGTTTAATGAAGCGGTGCTTTTTAGCCACTTTTTGGGTGATTTGGCAAGACAAAAAGGACAGAGTTCCTATAGATTTTTGTGAACAACTTGTTCACTCTTTTGTAATTATTTTTTCAATAAATGATATTATTTGCTCTTCTTCTCACAGAACAAAAATAAATAAATAAATAAATAATAATAAATTAAATAGCTAAAGTTTGTAATCACCACAGGTAAAACCAGTGTTTCTATCTCTGCCTCTTTAGTACTACTGGGAAATTCAAACATTAACAATTGGATGTAGCATTAGCAAAACACCAGTCCATATACTCTTACACAAAAAATGTTGACAAACAATTTTAAATAAATGGGATGGAGAAAGAGAAATACAAACCTCCTTTTCATACAATGCTTCAAAATTCTGGGATAATTTCTCAGCCAATTCAACAAAATCAGGCTGATCCGCATATGCCATTCGCACATTATTCCATAACTGCCAGGTTAAAGAAATGGTTATTTCATTTTACAAGCTGGCATATCCACATAATTCATCAAAACAAGACAGACCTAACCTAAAAAAGCACTTGCAAGTCCAACGTCATAATAACACGCTAATGTGATTTAACGCAAGCATTAAAACCATAATAACACACCAGGTGTAGCTCTTAAATTTAGAAAGTAAATACCTTCCTAACAAATTTGTTTATGTGATCCTCAAGCTAGAATATTTAAACTCAAAAAAGCACAATGAATAGAAATCATATATTAATTCATAATAATCCTCTCATGTGTTCATCAGATTAGATATCCGAAAGCATAGTTCATTACCAATCTTTCTGGCTATAAGATAATAAATCACATTGCCAAACGATAAGGTTCACTTATCATATTAATATACAACCAAGTTCGCAGTCTAACTCATGCCAACTTTTAATAAGTGAAATGGACACAGGCATCATCAATCATGAATAAAGGAACTCAGAGGAAGTCGAGCAATATGCATTGGAAAAACTTTACGAAGTCAAAAGCAAATGAAAAACTATAGTCATAGTCAGACCTCCCGAACATCCTCAAGAAAAGATTCATGTGATCTGTCATACGCCCCAACTGCCAATCTCATATCAATAGTCCTAAAATCCAGAGGACGAGATACCATGCCAGGCAATCCAAGTAGCCCCTCATCATCATTATCAATAGAACTCAACTTTCTTCCCAGTAAATTACAGAAAACTTTTGCATCATCTGCAGCAGAAGCATGACGTAAGACAATACGACATTGCTTCATTATGATGTCAGATACAGATAGGACAGTCTTTCTCTTTGTTTCCTTGTCAGATTTATGTGGCAATTCTTCCTTCCGAACATCTGCCAGCACTGCAAGAACGGCTTTCTGTATTCAATCAAGAATCAAAAATTACAAGATTCAGAATCATGCCCGCTCTGATTATTAATTGATCGTGGACCAAAAATAACAGAACCAAAATATAAGGAAAATTTAACAGAAAACATGCTAAATGAAATATTTATAAAGAAAAAATGGTTCAAAACAGTAACTCCAAATTCAGACACATTTCTTTTTGATAGATTTAGAATATGATATATGATAATATACATGTAGAAACTAAGAAAAAAAAGTACTGGAAGTAGAAAATAAATTACATTTAAGACAACCCCAAGGGGTGAGGCTTTGTGCTAAAAGCTCTTGATTCCAACTAGAGGTCACAAATCCTATAGAGCCACACATTATTTCTCACAAGTTTCCTGGCCACTAAGCTTGTAGAGTATGGAACTGGCCCCCGTTCAGAATATGGTGAGTATATAGAGAAGGTAGAAGAATTTTTTTGTATTAAAAAAATCGACTTAAGACAAAGTACAACCTATTTTAAAGAATGTATACTGTTACTCTTTTTTATGAACGAAGAATGTATGCTCTCTCAACTTGCTGAAATTGAAATATATAAAACCAAAGGTGGTTTGGGTGGTTCAAGCAAGAAAGAAGGCATTTTGGACACCTTAAGGCATTTGAACCCTCATCAAACTACATGTATTGTATTGTGACATNATCGATTTAGAATATGATATATGATAAGATACGTGTAGAAACTAAGAAAAAAAGTACTGGAAGTAGAAAATAAATTACATTTAAGACAACCCCAAGGGGTGAGCTTAGTGCTAAAAGCTCTTGATTCCAACTAGAGGTCACAAATCCTATAGAGCCACACATTATTTCTCACAAGTTTCCTGGCCACTAAGCTTGTAGAGTATGGAACTGGCCCCCGTTCAGAATATGGTGAGTATATAGAGAAGGTAGAAGAATTTTTTTGTATTAAAAAAATCGACTTAAGACAAAGTACAACCTATTTTAAAGAATGTATACTGTTACTCTTTTTTATGAACGAAGAATGTATGCTCTCTCAACTTGCTGAAATTGAAATATATAAAACCAAAGGTGGTTTGGGTGGTTCAAGCAAGAAAGAAGGCATTTTGGACACCTTAAGGCATTTGAACCCTCATCAAACTACATGTATTGTATTGTGAAATGCACTCTAACACTGAATGTTAGATAGGAAAACAAATAGGTGATTTTGTCAAAAATTAAAAAAAAAAAAAAAAAAAAAAAGGGTTTACGTTGAAAAAGGGCAAATTATATGAATTAGTTTAGTATTAGTAATGATATTTTTATTTATAAGAATTTACAGAACTAATCATAAAGTCAAAAGGAAAATCAACAAATAAATGGTAGTTTAAACTCAAATATGAAGAAAGGCATATTTAATGACATTGATCTGCTAAAGGAAAAAAGACCAGCATACACCCCAGAATAAAACAGAAAAATAGAAGCAGATTATAAATATTTTCCTCAAAAAGGCACAGAAGATAAGCTACAGAGAATAGCACCTTCGTTGGTCCTGATGCATTGCCTTTATAAACTTCTTTACTGATTGAATGTTCCAATCTTTTTTTGGCCCAATCTGGTGGATCTTTCTCTAGGGCTTCATAAACACATCTTCTGATTCTGGTTCCCACATTTGTTGGTAGCTTCCTAACAGGCTCCAGAACCTTTGCCCACTCAGGCATAGTACCATCACTCACAACTTTCTTTTCACAGGAACCAGAAGCATCAGACCCTTCATCTTCAATGGTCAGCATGTCATTTTCTCTGTTCAAAAAACCAAAAATCTTCTTTGTAGCCTCAGCAAGCAACTGAAGATTGAAAGAGTCAAAGTATTAGTACACATTATAATTATGTCTTTCTTTTTGGTTCCCAATTCTTGATCATATTGCAAAGAGCCAAAACCACAGCCTAAACATACTAAGTCACTGGACAGATGTCATATATCACAAAGAAAATTAAAATTAAGTAAACAATCACATACATTTAGGGTAACCACAATGCCAAATGCTGAGTAAAAAGGTAACTTCCCGATACACATAATTCTCAGATGAAGTGATCATAATTCTACAGAAATACAATCTAAATCTTAGATTGACAGAATCCTTTAAAAGAGACACGAACTTTGAGGAGGATTTCATTCTGGCAATAATTTTAACAAGCGAAGCTGTTAAACTCTGAATATGTCACTCTTGGATTTAGCAATAATATAAATTCATGTTTAAAATCAATAAAGCAATATATGTCATAAGCAACTTTTTAAATTGTATCAGCCAAAGAGAAACATCTTGTATGTCGAGAAACATTAAGAAATTGTATATGATTTTTGAAGGAACATTCATATAATCCATTCCCATGTCAGAAAATAGAACAGATTCCTGTTCAATCAATCTAGAAAGTTAATATTTTGTGATACCAAAAATCCATTGACCACACTTGTCTGTGCACTGGGTTTGAAACTAGCAAATACTGCCCAACCTAAGCCTTCGGTAATCAAACAACCTATGAGACACAATATTCTAAGCAGGTGGCCTCGTAGGAATTTGAACCTCTAACCTCTTGATTGTGAACCAAGAGTACCTATCCATTATGGTTCATCAAGAAAGTGATATTTCTCATCCAAGTAACTTCTCTAAATTGCATGCAATCAAATAAAAACAAATCTAGAACATCAAGAAACTTTTCTAAATAGCACAACAATTTAAAAGAAATCTGTGTTAACCACTCCATGCTCAAACAAGAAAATAGATCCATATTCAATATCCATCAAGATAGTTACATTTGCCATCAAGAAACCTTTCTAAATAGTATGCTGCCAAAAAAGAAACATCAAACACATGAAAAAAGCTTTTCATAATAGCATATGGTTTTGATGGAAAATTCGTACAATCAAATGATCAATTGGTTGTTTGACCGATGAAGTTGTAAAGCTGGATTATTGAACTAGTAGATATTATGAAAGCTATCATTACATGAATATGTCTTCTTCCAATTTCATTTGAGATAATATGCAAGACTTTTATAATTTTGCCTGAAAATAATAATAGTAATGATAATATGTAGAAAGCTTTGATGGGAAGTTGTTTTTTCAGAGAGCTAGTGTCTAGTCAATAAATTATTTCTGTAAAAGAAAAAATTCTAAATTTTAATTTCTTCTACTAACATATCACATTAATCATTGTTCAAATCCATCTTATGAAAAATGAATTTCATTCTAAATCTACATCAGGATGGATCTAACTATTGAGCAAAAACTAAAAAGGTAATTTCATTCCTTCTAGCAATTCCTACTTACAATTCATATCCAAGGAGTACATCTACAGCCTAAGAGATGGTAGGAAATTAAAACAGTGTTCTCTAGATCTTGTGTTAACAATTTCTGCTAAATAAGAGCATGTGAAATGCCAATAAAAAAACCAAGAGCCAATCTTACCAGGGCATCTGCTTCCATTCCAGCCACTCCAGTAAGTGAACCACAGAGCACCCCTCCATCACCTTGTAAGCAGCGAAACACTTTACAACTTTCACGAGTAGTAATGTCCGCAGAGTCAAGGACACCATCCATGGATAAGAAAGCCAAGATGTATCTCCGTGCTAATTCTGGCCAAGTCAATTCGTTAACAGGGAGCATATTGAGCTTACCCTTCTTAGGAGGAATTGAGTTATCTGCATCTTTCTTTCTCCCCCGTTTTGATTTCGACTCTCCAGAATCAAAGTTTGGGTCAATAATTGCAGCCACCTTGGATTGCAGTTCACTAATTAGCACCCCAAGCAAAGAGCTATGAGCCTTGGTCAAAACCACACCAGAACATCTGTTGTAATTAACATATGCTATTCTAGCTTGGGCCACTTCTTTCATTGATCCAGTTTCCATCTGTATAAATGCATGTGGGTTTTCCCTTGAGGATGACATTTGTCCACCCACAAAGTCAGTTTCTTGAAAGCTTGAGGGTTCAATTCCCTGGATTTTCTTCTCAGATTTCTCAAGAGGACTTGAGCCATCAAACCATGGATTGATAAGCTCCTCTTCAAGTTCCTCCAAGGAAAAAGGTCCCTTCAGACCTAAACTTTCATGAAAACGCCCAAAGAACTCCCATACCTGAAAAGATAAGCAGAAGCTCAAGGTTTCATATCACTCAATTGTGTATCCAAATATAGAAATATGTTCTGCAACAAACTACAGAATACTGATTGTACATGCATACCTGATAAAAGTCACCAATAATGTGAGGAGGAAGCCTCAAGCACAATGCCTTTCCAGGGGGGCAATGATCATGGTCTTCAACCAACTGAGGTTTGTTGAGTCTTCCAAATGAACCATCTGATACTTCTTCATTCTTGCTTTCTATCCCACATTTCCTTTTTGCAATCAGGAATCCATTTCCAACAGTTAGGGATGAGATGTAGTAACTTCTATGCTTCAGAAATTCATAACGTGAACAAGCTTTAACACCAGGAAGCTGTTCAATAATTTCTTGCACAAACTCAGTGTCTAACCCAAATCTATCCTGGTCCAGCCACTTCAGAAGTACATTGCTTATTTTATCAAACTTATCATCACCCCCAAAGTCAGACAGGATGTTAATGGAGACCGGAGAACCAAAAAACCTTTCAAGTGCAGAAAATCTCACTTTGTTCTTGTTGTCCATCATATCCCAGTTTGGTGATCCCCTTCTATTTTCAATGTGCTTGCAGAAAAAATTTAAACCACCTTTTCGTTTACAGATCTCAGAGCAAGCATCAACAAGCTTCTGAGACATCATTCTCCATGCCAATGATGATGAACGATCTTCAACAGAAATCTCACCAATTTCATCCCTCAACCCTAAACCATCAGTTAGAAGCTTTCTAGATTTTTCATGAATGGAACTGGCTTCAAGCAATAAATTATCACATGTATAAGCACCATAAGTTTTGTTTGCACTATTTCCTAGACAAGTCAAGATATCATGCTCCATAGGAGGGCAAGGATCTGAAAGAATTATCTGGATACTGATGTCATTATCATAATCATTACCATAAGGAGCAATATTGCCATTTCCTTCATCATGTAGACCGGAGAATTGCACAAAATTTGACCTAAAGAGGATAGTTGATCCATTTGGAATGGGCAACACAGAGCATGAACATCTTCTTACCTTAAAAACAGGACCAGAATCGCCACCATCTGACACTTCACATATAAAAAGAGAGCCAGTGATCTTATCATGCCAACAGGAGGTATAACCAACAGGACTGATCTGGTTAACATCATGATATGAAGGTCTCACATCAACATTCCCCAAAGAAAGAACAAAAAAATCTTCAAACTGCACAGGAAGTCCATCCTGAAAAAAAAATGTGTGACAACAATTAGGCATTAAGAGGAAGCTGAAATAAAATATAATATTCCAAAAACTGCTGAAACCCTCACTGCTACATCATCACACTAACATGAAACAGAAAAAATAAATTAAAGCTAGAGAAAAGAAGATGAAGCATTAGTAACATGTTTACTTACCTTATTGTGCTGAAATCCAGCGAAACCATTTTCCTCTCCTACAGCTTCAGTACCACCAGCCACAATAGTATCAGATCTACTAGCAAAAATCTCCATAGGTTCACAATTGGATGAAAACTCATTACAATAACTACTTATCGAATCCTTTTTTTCCTCAAAACCATTAACAACCGATGACCTCGTTAGCTTTCTTCGTTTAGGTAGATGTAACCTTTCCTGTCCAGCAGATCCTTCAGTTCTTATTTCAGCATCCATAGATTTGTAGTTAGAAATCAAACCCAGATAACAAGCAACTTCAGACATTGAATCAAAAGTCTTTCCATCTGGAGCACAGTAAACAGCATATAGTTGACAGCTGCTCATAGAACGTCTTAATTCAACACACCAACCTTCTTCTAGAAAACCCTGCCTTTCAGAAATAAATTCTCTAAGAGCCTGCAACAATATCTCGCTGGGATTTTGAGATGGAAATTTACTACTCCTAAGATTTCCAGTGGAGAAGCCCAAATCTACCCCATTGAAACTTCCATCCATTCTTTGTCTATGAAGCAAAATATCTTCAAGACCAGTTTTTACAGTGTGTGTCGTAATTCCAGAAAATTTCTGAGATCCATATCCATTCCCCGCATATATAAAGTTTGAATAGGTCACTGGGGCAATAAATCCATTGCCACCAAAAGAATTATCACCCGGGGTGTGCTTTCTAAAACCAAAATAAATATAACCAGTAACTAACATGAGAACTTTAATTTCAAGAAATCTATTCATAAATTGATCTACAATTAAGACGGATGCAGAGAAAAAAGATTCAAAACAGGGATCACAGGATAGAAAAGAAGGGATTAAGCAGGAGAAAAATAAAATAGGAGTTAACTCCTCCCAGTTACAATTTGCTAAAATAGATATAATAATGACCACCAATAATAAGGCACCAAAAACCATTCATTACCCTCCTAAGATCTTGCATCTATAAGATTTTCACTTAGGCAGATCTCTCTCATTTACCAAAAGTCAAGATTTACTTTCCTTTCTCTACAAGGAAAGACTAGAAATATATTTAAGGCTTTTAAGATTCCTAGTGCAAAAATAAAAATTGTCATTAACTCAGTTGAAATAAATACTACAGACAAAAGAGGAAGAAAAGTGAATTTTTTCACCCTAACATGTTTTAGAAGTGAAGAATTGACAAAACAATTCCAAAATCCTGACGTGCATAGAATTCAGACAATTTGTTATCAACACAATCAGAGTAAGAAAAGCTGGGTGACTACCACTTTTTTCATTCTTTCTTATTTTTCCTTGGGATAGGATCACTTCAGTATTCCTTCTAGTTTCCAAGAAGCTGACATGAGCAGAATTCAAATCCTTTATAAACAATACATTATAGGTCAGAAAACCTGCACTGACAATAACTTTGGTGTTTGTTTTAGTTAGTGAAGAGTCTTGATTTCTTTTAAAAAGAAGAATGTGACCTATGTGATGTAGGTACTATGCTTGCCAAGAACAAATAACTTTGGTCATATAATGTTTTATTATAAGGGGATATTTTATTAACGAAATAAAAAATCACTTTGTAGATTACTAGGAATATTTAAAAAATGTGTTTGGTTGATTCGAATAAATTAGTGAATAATATGTTTGGTTGGGAGGATAAATGGGTGGGTATGTTATATAGATTCTTAAATTGCCCTCCTTTTTAAATATTAATATAATAGTATTTTTTATTCTTATTTTTTTAATAATTTCTTTTAACCCCCTACTTTTCAGATTTAGCAAAAACACCCTAACAGCCAAAAACATTTTAAACTTAACAAAAACACCCCTACTCACCCCAAGCCACTGCCGGCAGCCAGCCACCACCGTCAGCTGCCGCCAATAGTGCTACAGATTTGGCCATGACGCCGACAATGCCATAGATCTGGCCATGAAACAACCAGATCTGGCCGGTTCCGATCCATGGTCAAAAAAGGCCTCACCGGCGCACGGCCAACCATATACGACTGGTCGTACACCATTATGGCAACTTTTGGCAACCTCCAGTGGCGATCCACATTGGCTGGCGATGGTAGCTAGTTCTAGGTACAATAGCATTTCTATAAATAATGACATAACAAGGGCAATGTCGTCTGAAAAATTTAAAAAGTGAGAACAAAAGTGTCTGCATGAATAAATTGGGTGTTTTGTAAATTTTAACAAATATAAGGCTAATTTGGACCAAATGCTCAATTGTTTAGGGGCAATATGGAAAACAAAATTATATTACCTTGGGTAAGTTTTAATAACAGCACACCCCAAGGTATTAGGATTCCTGGCAATTTACCCCCCAAATGCTACTGTTTGTCATAAAATATTCTGAGAATAATTTTTTACAAACCAACCAAATATCGTCATCTGCTCAATTTAAAAAATATTAACCTAGTTATCTAATATTAATCCCATCCAAACGGCCCCTAAAGATCAAGCAAGATATCAAGTTTTTCCTTTCTATTTTGAAACAATTTTTAATTTGCTCAAAAATAGAACTGTTAGCATTCCTTCATTAATTCAAAATGAAAAATGAAATAAACCTTAACAGCAACTGTTATAAACTAAGTAACTTATCAGTGTGTCTCTAAACAAGTTGCCCTATTTGTGTTGAAGTGAAACAGGCTATAACAAATTCTTATAGTAATTTCTTAGAAGCTTTACCATATCACCCGAGGCTTGGCCACTTGTGTTTAATGACACCACCAAACATGGATATATAATAGAAGCTGTTTCAGCTAGGCTCGTCAGAGGCTTTCGTAGTCCAAAATTAGCCTCAATGATAGAACCAATAGCTCGGATAAAAGTTGATTGAGGCATGTGAACAACATAGCTTGGCTTTGGCATGGACAGAAGAAATTAACAGTGTCAAATTCATGACTTTGGGCTTAATTGCAATTCAATAACTGAAGTCTGCATAAAATCCTCCCAGTACAGTAAAATTGCCTACAATCCCAACAACAAACTAATAACACCACCTATGCATTATGTATCAAATTCATGACTTTGGGCTTAATTGCAATTCAATAACTGAAGTCTGTATAAAATCTTCCCTGCAGAAAGTAAAATTGCCCACAATCCAAACAACAATCTCATAACCCTACCTATGCCTTGACCTTTTAGCTCTATGCTTATAACAAAACACCATTCATAATAAATAAATTTCCATCTCACTGAGGCTAAAATCACCAAAAGATTCAATCTTTAGCTTTTATACAAACTTAAACCAATGTGCTAAACCAAAATATTATTATTTTCACCTTAAAATACCATCATCAACTCAATCAAAGTAGAACTAAAATAAAGTTCCATTCTATTCTTCTATGTTTTCCAAAACAAATCTACTAACACTTAATTCAAACTTAAATTTTCACCATTGCTAAAACCAAGACAAACCAAACTTAACGTACCTGGCATCGAGCAGTTCCTCGGCAGCGTCTCCATCAGCATCGCTAGGCGGAGAAGCGTTTATATCCAAAATCCTCTTTTTCTTGCCTAACGGCCAGCGTTTACTTTTAACTCCGCTTTCAACGCAGTCGCTACACACCCACTCAACCAGATTAACCGCCTGCCTCCCGTGCATTCCAGCACACTCCAAGTGAAAACCCCTCTCGCAGCCGTCGCACACAACCACGTATCCCTCCACCTCCGGCCCTCCGCATGCGCCGCATATCCCGCCCCTACCTTCCTCGGTTGAAACCACCGGCGACGCAGGCTCCGGCAAGCAATCGGCCGGATTATCCGTCGACGAAGTTATCGGGATCTCATTGAGATCGATGCCCAGAGGCGAACGAGTCGAATCGCTGAGTTCCATTATCCGATAATTAATAACGTAAGCATTGCTTGCTTAGAATTTGTTCTTTTTTTCTTTTTTTCCGACTTCCGCTGGAGGGATTGTTTGGCTGTTTTGGTTTATGGATTTTTTTTTTTTTTTTTTTTAAATTCGGTGTTTGGGGTTTTGACGGATGGAGAGACAAAATGGGACCAAGAGAGGACGGTACAAACAAACAGTATATAAAAGATAGTTTTGTTTGGGTGATTGGACAGTGGTTGTGGAGAAATGGAGATTGGGGATTGTTTTGTTCGTGTACTTGGTTTTATACTGCCTTTATGAAGGCGCGGGTCTAAACTCTCAACTGGTTGCTGTTTCGTTTTCTGATTCATACCATTCTATCAAGCGCCTTCTAGTCATTATTATTATTATATACATATAAATTTTATCTGTCTTCCTTTTTTAATAACAACCAAAAAAAAAGAGTTACTATTCATATATTGTCTGTTACAGTTTTTTACAATAATTAATACTTCCAAGATTAACATAATGGCTCTACACATATCAAATCAAATACTGTTAAATATAGGAAAAAAATAATAGATTTTATACAAAATGATTACCCATGATTTAAATCATCTATCAAATTTTGTGATTATTATCTTGTATTTATTATTATATATTTTAATTATGAAATAAAAGTGACTTAAGACATGAATTGAATAAATTGTAAGTAAATATTATGATGATGTTGTACGAGGATACTTCTTCCTCTTTCTCTTTAAACTTTTTACTAGAAAGTAGAATCCAATGCTTTATAATAAAATTATAATATCATCTCTCATCACCTTTTGAAAAATCTCACCTACCACCCTTCACACCTCTTATTTTTCATAGTTGATTAAAAATTACAAAAAAAATGAGTTATCCTTTACTAATGTATTTATTACAATAATCAACAAACAAAATATTTACAATAAAGCTACGGACACCAGCAATTTTACATCGAAAATATGTACCGGCTTACGTGTCCCTTGACTCACACCAACAATTCAGACGCGTTATTAAATATTTTTCTAATGAACGGCCGTCCATCAAATATGGACGGCCGTTCACTTACATGGACTCTCGTCCATATTATATGGACAGACATCTATTTATTACGGACGGGCATCCCCCATAAGTAAAATAGAATAAAATATTTTTATAAAAATTAAAAAATATTTAGGGACGGCCGTTCATCTTTTATGGATGGTCGTCTATTAATTTTGGACGGGTATCCACAAATAAGGGACGCTCATCCTTAATCAAAATAAAAAAAAAAAAAAAAATTGGGGACGCCGTCTACAAATTGTGGACGAGCGTCCCTTACATTTGGGGGAATGGACGCCCGTCCATTATTTTGGTTTTACAAAACAAAAACTTCAACGCGCCAATTCCTTTGCTTTCTCTCTGTAAATTCTTCCTTCTTCTTCAACTATCACCAACTTCAACGCCTCCGCTACCGACTTCAACTATTCGTGAGTCTAATCAGATTTTCTATGATATTGTTTGAGGGAAATGAAAATCAACGTGATAATGTTGTGAAGCTTCTGCAAGATATCTTTGAGCTTGTAATAAATGATCTGATGATAAATGGTTTCAGCTTTGCTGCTTTCAGTCACTTTTCCCATTTTAACATCATTTAGAGGGTTTGCTTTACTAAATTTTGTTTTCAATGTGCACAGAGTATTCGATTTGTTGAATGCACCCCAGCAGGTTAAGCTGGATTTTGGCTTTCGTTTTGAAGAAATTGAACCTGAGTATTTGCTGACGAGAATTCTTTGGGTGATCAACGAAATGAGAGATACGGATGTAACGTACAATTCGCTTTTGCTTTTTCAATTTTTTCTCAGTTCATTTAGTTAAAACAAACTTAACAGTGGAAATCATCATTGAAGCTGCAGTGACCACGGGGACATTAGATGCCATTAGAGAAAGGATGAAGAGCATGCAATTGGCTGCAGCTGCTGGGAACCCAGAAGCTGGAAGCAGGCCTTTAATAAACATGAACGATAATTTAAATCATGGAATCTCGAGTCAGCATCGTTCATCAGACCACCCTGGTGTAGAGAATGCTGTACAGGGTGCGGTTCTTCTAACCATGGATGAGAAGGCGTTATCTGGACTTCAAGCCCGCATGGAGAAACTAAAAAGTGGAACAATGGAACACCTTTAGAAATTTTTTAGCAATACAAGGAGATACAACTCACCTGGTATTTCAGTGGCTGTAAAGTTTCTTCAGCTGGTTTTGCAGCCATGTCGCAAAGAGAGAGAGAGAGAGAGAGAGAGAGAGAGAGAGCTTAATGGCTTGAAAGTGGAGAGAAAGGAAATGGAAAGCTTTGAGTTTTTGAGCAAAGGTTAAAGTCCAGCCAATTGGATCTCATTCATTTACACAGTTAAAGCAAATGAGATCCAATTGGCTGTTTTTAAAAGTTGAAGGAATGGATGGGCGTCCATTCATTTAGGACGCCCGTCCAAAAGAAAACCAACCGTAAGGGACGGCCGTCCTCAAAGTTTTTTTTTTTATTTTCATATTTTGGTTAAAGGATGTCCGTTCAAATTAACGGATAAACGGTCATCCCTAATTTTTATAAAAAAAAATTATTCTATTTTACTTATGGACGGACGTCCTTTAAATGAGGACGATCTTCTATAATAAATGGATCCCTGTCCATATAATATGGACAGAAGTCCATATAAGTGAACTGTCATCCATATTTGATGGACGGTCGTTCACTAGAAAAATATTTATTATTTAATCACACGTCTGAAATGTTAGTGTGAGTCAGGGAGACAAGTAGACTGATACATACTTTCGATGTAAAAACCCCAGTGTCCGTAGTTTTATTGAAATATTTAAGCGTTACTTGATTATTCAAAAAACCTTACACACTTGACACTTTTGCTCCAAAAATAATTAGTAAATGTGCACTATTGGTACCGTTAAAATATTTGTCCTTCAATATGTTAAATAATAAATAATAATCATTTTCATTAATCGAGCTTTTGTCTATGTTGGTCGAATTTCGTCACCATTCATAAATTGTGTCTCTTTTTTCTTTTCTTTCTTCATGGTTACTAATAAATTCTAATACAATATCACAAACAACGTCTGGTTTCTATCACTGTTGACTTTTATTGATTGTAATTTTCATGATTTTGAAGTTTTTTTTCTTATACTTTATTTTTAACATTATATTATGTTAGATAAATACTTAGTTCTTATAAATATATTGTTGTTGTTTTGTGTGATTTGTTCATCAAGCTCGGGCCACCGTAAGGATATAGCTCGACCTAGGACCAGTCCAACTCCACCGGTTATCCGACCCAGCACAAGCTCATCAACACATAGCTCGACCTAGTATAAGCTAATTGCGAATAATGCGAATGATCATTCAATTAATTCCTAGATATCTTCAGATCCCAGATATTGCGGGAATGACCAAATCAACATCAATCTCTACACGATCACAACGCCGAATCGCGAGAATATCAGAACTGCAGTTTAGATCAATTGTAATCCCTTTTATTTTCGCTCTTTCCTTTGTACAAACCTTGTATATAAACCCCCACAAATGATGACAAAGGGGTTACAACTTTGACACAGAATTCTCATTGTAAGCTCTCACAGCAAATACAAAAAACAATAGACGTAGGCTCAAGAGTTTACCTCGCCGAACCACTTAAAAAATTCTCTTTGTCATTCATTTTATTGCACTTAATATTCGTCTATCGCTGATTACCTGTAATCACGCGCACATCCATTCTGGTCCCATCAAAGTCAATCAAAATTCTCTGGTTGGTGCAGATTTCTGTATCAACATTTTGGCGCTAGAAGGAGGGCTCTTCGCCAGCATCACAGCAATTTCTACGAACATTCGCGATAATCTACCCAATCCAAGCCCATAATGCACTAAATCAAAGACCACCACCTGAAACCTTGAGAATGTGGAAACCACTCATCAGGAGGTACAACAGGACGCTACTGGATGCCGACCACCCATGCTGCCAACTCAGCATGTTGCGAATAACCAGGAGGCAGGGACGTCAAACCTCAAAAACGCCCAACTGGTGGAAATGATCAGAACGATGGTTGCACAGGCGGTGCAACAAAACATGGCTGAGCTAAGGAATCAACAATTACCTACCTAGAATCTTAACCAGTCGCGCTTCACCAGCACCACCCTAACAGGTATGAATTCTACAGACGGTCAGTCTGATTCATCGGCGCCAAGAGGCAACCAATACCCCCGACATCGCAAACTGCACTTCGCTCACGAGCGCGAGTCCCAATGGCAAACTAACCCAGGAGGCGGCCGGGAAAACAACCACTGGGGGAGAGTGAAGACAACAATCATCCCCAAGACGCTTGGCGATAAGCCCAGTGTCATCGTGCCGGTATTAACTCATGCCCAAGACAAGATCGATCCCTGCCAACTAGGGAGACGAGCCATGTGCGCCAATCTGGCAATGACCGATGTTCCATTTATAACAGACGTCGCGAGCAACGAACCAATGAGCATGACAGCACTTATCAGCCTAGCCATCATGACTCAACTTTGCGCATCAATCTGCACAAAATGAGAGTTTCGCAAGCGACTTATTTGCGAACTCATTTGCTCGAAGTGAGGCTAAACAAAGCCAGCCAGGGCAACCACAACGAAGACTTAGATCGTGTACAGAGAATACTCGACGATCTGAAAGCCCGCTAGAATGGCATGACTGAGGAAATAGTAAGTTCCCCATTCATAAAGGAAGTTCGCCAAGCCTCACTTCTGCAAGGATTCATGGCACCAGAAAGTAAGTTCGATGGAAGAGGGGACCCAAGAGACCACCTTGATAATTTTAACGACCTGATGGAGCTGCACCAAATCTCTGATTTGGTGAAGTGCAGGTGCTTCACAGTCACAATAATAGGGGATGCCAAGAAGTGGTATAAGAGGCTCAAGGCGAACTCTATCAACTCCTGGCAACAATTCTCCTTACTGTATTTACAGCAATTTCAAGCAAGGAGGCATTCGCAATGTCGCTTAGCTACTTGAGCAACATTCGTCAGGGAGAGACAAAACATTAACCTCGTACTTGAC